TCCCTGAGTTCCAGTTCGGCTTGCAGTCTGTCTTGGTCCAAGTGTGTTATACTAGCAGACCAGCTGATAGTTTACTGCTGATTTGGGTTCCTTACAAAACTGCTCAATATATTATAGCACACACAGAGACTAAGTTGAAATACGACATGAAGTTTCCTTTGTTTCCAGCTCGCTGCTGCTTGAGGATGAGCCCCACGTTTCACTGACGCTTCATGGTACACGGCTGATTTGAAGGCTGACATGACTTTGGCCCTAATGACATTTATTATGAGCCTAATTAGATGTACAACGGGCCGACGCGACTGCAAAGACGAACGCGGCTAATTGAATTCTGGGCAAAGGTTGACTGGAGAACATGTTACTTAAGTAGTCTGTCATTTCTGGCCGACAAGGTGAAGAGCTGCAGAGAGACAAGATGACGACGGCGAGAGCGGCAGAATGTCAAACCAGGAAGACTGACGGACAGAAAAACACAAATAAAATAATCCCAAACAGATGATGCAGTTCCTCAAGTTTCCCTAATGCTGCCTCTTCTTGTTTGACTTACTTAACTTTAACCAGGAGGTGATTTTTCCCCTCTGATCTCCTGTAATGTGTCCTTGAAGAAGGTCTTCAGCTTCACCTGCTCAGTGGAGGCAGAGGGTTCTTCTTCTTCTTCTTCTATTTTTTTTTAAATCACAACAAAGACAAAGCAGAGACTGAAACCAATCACAGCAATCCATGAGACAAAAGCATGCAATAAAAGGTGATTGTGTTCGTGAGGCACCACGTTTATTTCATTCCAGCTCTGCCAAGGTTGAACCAATGCCACTGTGCTTCTCTTCTCACTGGAAAAAAAAAAAGGAAACCTTGCTCATGATTCACAAATGTAAGAGCCAGTGATATAACTCCAGTGGGTAATATGTGTATAAAGTCCTCACACAGACAAACTGGTTTATCAGGGACATGCCCTCTTAATCTATTTATTTGACCCTCGATTTGTGTTCTGATAAATAAAGTGTACAAGGGATTGCACACATTTACCATCTCTGTATATTTGTGTTGTTTATCTAACAACTTGCTCCTTATGTTTCTAATGATTTAAACTCCCAAACATCAGTATAACCTCACGCTTTCTGCACATAGCTCACCGTCGTAACGTTCCAGCGCTATGCATCGGTGTCTCACAGGAGCAGATCATCACAAAAACACCCATTAACACCTGAAAAACCACCATTTACACTCACATGTGTCCAGAGAGCCAGACTGTATTTTCAGGTGGAGAGTTAACAGCATTTTAATGGTTCCAAAATAACTGTTGTTTTGGACCCTCGTCTAAAATGAGTTGGAGTTCTTCCCAAATTGACAATAAAATGTCTTTTCTCAGCATAAAAAAAGTCTAAAAAGACGCTCCTTTGTTGTCACTCCAATCCATCACATAATTAACAAACGTATTTTCCTTCTGAATTTGGCATTTTGCCAATAATGATGAAGCCCAGAAGGAAATACAATATAATTTAATATGTAATACGTACACCTGAATGCAGTGTTTACACTTAAATACCGCTGCCTCTGGCGTGATAAGCAACTTTTAAAGATGCATGGCTTCCACGGTGCCTGGGAGAGGCTGTTAAAAAGTAATATGAGGAGAATAACTTTGCATTAAAGATGAGGAAAAACTGTCCTGCCAGCACAGGCAATATCTGAATTTCCTAAGGCGACGGTGAATGAAATGCAGGCACATGAACAAAATGTGAATGCAGGATGTGAACGAGACAGAGCCATAAACAAACCTAAAAAACGTGGGATAGTTCTTCATTAAAGCTCCAGTCGGATCAAGCCGAGCCTGTCGGTGGGTCGGTCTTTACACGCTAATGCTTTGCATGCAAACCTTGTTGGAAAAGAAGTTTTCAATTCCAGCGCAGATCTCAAGCTTTTTAAAGATAGTCAAGACATCTGGAAGTCTTGGATTTGAACCCCAAAAAGAAAGAAAAAACAAAACAGCGTAAACATTCCTGATGGAGAAAAATACAGTAAAAGTTACCAAAAGAGAGAAGGCGGTCCTCCCTAAAGCTTGTGTTGGAGTGTTTCTCTCAGCGTACACATTTTAATTAAGAACTGGAACATGCTGCAGACAGTGAGGATTAAGATGATTTTAACAACCTTTAAATGTAGAAATTGTACATCAAGGGGTTCATTAACACGTTTCCCCTGTAGCACCAAATTACTGTTAAATGTCTGTCGTTTGGTTAATCAGTCCTTGATTTGGTGAATTCAGGCATTGATCCATATTTACCTCCCATAAAGTGCATTCAATGTTCTGGCAAAAAGCAGATGTTTAGAATATTTAACTTTGTCCAAAAAAAAGAGGATTCCGGATTTCTGCAGAATAAATAAACAGTTTTAAAGATTTTATTTTTTGTTTCTTGATCATGAAGGTGTTCATTCTCAAGCTGAGGGACACACATCTATGGTAAATATACTAAACTTCATCCGACAGCCTTATTTGCCTTTACTGCAGGGGTCTCAAACTCACGGATATTTTGTGGCCTCCTGCTTGACATCAAAGTTTAATATTAGTGCAGCCCTCGCGTTTTTTCCACATGTACCTGTGCGAGTCATTGCCCCGGGTGTTTTATTTGTTTTTCCACTTGTGGGCGACCACAGCTCAGGCTCGTGACACCAACGGGAATTAGCAATCACATGAAACGTGATTCGGGAGCGTCACTGAGTGGAGATAACATACATCCTGTCACCCAGTGCAAATGCATGTTTTCTTTTTGTATCTGTGTGAAAAGCTCTTCTCCACCATGAACTTCAATAAGTCAAAGTGCAGGTCCAAACTTACTGATGAGCATCTTTAACCCATACAGAGGGTCTCAGTTGTTTCCTCCTTGAAGCCAGATGTGGCTCAGCTGTGTGAGAGGAAGTGTAGATAGGAGTAGGTAAGAGGAGCCGATGTTCTGAAGAACCTTTCATGTTCCGAATTGTTATTAATAAAGATTGAGAAGATTGGATCAGTTGTACTTTTTTTTTTTGGAATACTTGAAACCCTTTTTTGTGGAATAATTGATGCGGCCCAGCCTCACCCAGACCATAGACTGTATAACAGATGGACGTAGCTACCATGACGTCACTCGTTGGTTTCTGCACTGAGAAAATGAAGTCAGGGTTTTGCTACTTCCTGGTTGACATCTTAGATTTTTGGAGCCAGTGACGCAAAAATCGTGGGAGGGGGGGGCGGAGCCATAGGAGCAGCGATTGGTCAGACGGATTGAGAGGCGGGCCCTCTCTGCCCGCCCACATTTACCGCCTCGCTTCGTCTGCATCGTCGCTGCCGACTGTCAATCAAGCCAGCCACGCCCCTTGCCCCCTAAAAATTTTGACGATTTTTAAAAATTTCAGTACTGATTTATTTTCAGATTGACCACCTGATCTCTGGATTTGACCATGAAAACTAATAAGAAAAAAATCCTGAGCTGTAGGAATGCAGTATTTCGTGATCTGTGATCACTTCTTTTCCAATTCCAGTCTATGGGAGCCAGGGCTTTTTGGAGCCAGCAGCTAGCGGACGTAGTGATATTGCAGGTTTTTGACACTTCCGGGTTGGCTTCATTTTTCAGGGCCAGTTGCTACATCCATCTTTTATACCGTCTATGACCCAGACTCTATCTCCATTGGCCCCCAGGTGAGTTGAGTTTGACACCCCTGCTTTACTGCATCCCTGCATACACAGATAAACCAAAACAGTAAAACCAGTTGACAGATTACGTGAATAACACTGACTATCTCCTAAGCAGCATGCCTTGTGGGATGTTTTTGGTTTGTCGTGAGCAGAACCTACCAAAAGCGGCCCAAAGAAAACACAGCCGGTGATTTGCTAAAAGGTTCATACGTGCCCAAAGTTCATTGATTCCACAGACACTCCCACAGCTGCCATGATGGAAAAATGTCACAACACGCTGAGCATCACAGCTTGCCGGGTTTGGGGAGGATCTCAGTCCAGCTGAGAGTCTGTGGGATGTGCTGGGAAAAAAAAACACAAGTCCAATCCATTGAGGCCCACCTCACGACTTCCAGCACTTAAAGGAACTGCTGCTGAAGGCCTCAACACACCAGAGCTGTTTTGGCAGCAGGAGGTGGAACTACGCAATATTCAGCAGGTGGTTTGAAAGAGCCCACGGTGACATCTCCAAATAGCTCGTGTGATGTTGATATGATATAGATGTGACGATGAGAACTGGACAAGAGCAGCGAATCCTCACAGTGGAGAGTCTGGAACAAGTTAATTGTTATAGTGAATGATGAGGCTGCTATTGTAACTAAGTTACTTGTGACCATGTGGCAAGTTGTGAAACCGTCATAACATTTGTGCATGTATAGTCAAAGAAATGAAAGAAGCTGCCTTTCATTATTAAAAAGTGCAGGTGTTCAGCATCACTTTTTCAGGTTCAGACATGCCTCTCTTTGCTGTTTTTTTTTTTCTTTTTTCTGGGATGTGTCAGGTAATCTATCCGTTCTCTTCACCCTGAGCTGAGCTACAAGGTTATTGCTGCACATGCTAGGCTGTGTAGTGCTGTAAA